TGTGCATTCCGTGGCTGTCTCCTCCTGGATTGGTGGCAGTTGGCCCAATAGACCGTTGCAGCCCCTTTTTAAGAGATTTGGGTATGGAGGAAAATAGAGAGGGTTGTGTTTTCTGAAACTTGGCGAGTTCCCTGGAAAACCGGGGACACATGTTCATAAAAGAGGTACAAAAGTTCATTTTGCATGATAGGTCACCTTTAACTACATTTTGTAAGGAGGAAAATAGTAGAGGTGTTGTGTTTTCTGAAACTTGGTGAGTTCCCTGGAACACCGGGGACACATGTTCATGTATAAAAGATGTACAAAAGTGCATTTTGCATGATAGGTCACCTTTAAGTTTTTACTAACATTTAAAGTGAAATCACGTGGAGTGTGAGGTCAATATGTGCAGATTGTTCAGGGTCATTGAAAGGACAAAACAGAAACAATGAATAATGTGAAGTAACGCTCTATCTGAACTGCTTGAACCTGAGTGGGAAATCAAGACGCAACAAAGACATGTGTTTGTCCATCTGTTAAACGAACCTCTCTTTCTGCTTCCAGAGGATTCCTCGTCAGAGAGCGGCAGTGGGAGCGGGCTGCCGGCTCTGACCCCCCCCTCCTCCGCTGCTACGGACGCTGCTATAGTCAGGGAGACCGGGGTCGTCAATGGCAACGGCGGCCCCGGCCCGCTGGACTTCAGCACGCCTACGTCCTCCTCCTCATCGTCTGAGGACCAGCAGCCCATGAACCTGAGCGACCCCCCCCCTCAGCGCCTGTCCTCCTCTCACTTGCCCGTCACCGTGTCGGCGGCGGCGGCGGCGCTGCTCGGCGCTCTGCACCCCGAGGAGCTCCGCAGGAAGTACCCGCTGGCTCCCAAACCCTCGCTGACCCCACACGCTGCCCTGCCTCTGCCACACACACACACACCTCACACACATAATGCACACACTCCCAACACACACTCGCAGTCCCACTCACAAACTGCCGAGCTGCGACTGGAACGAGACGGCAGGGATTACGGGGGCAAGGTGAGACAACACAGCAGACACACACACAAACTGTAAATCCACACACACACACAAGTGATTGTTTACAATAAGATTATGTAAGACAGGATTTCAAGAAGTATATTATATAGCTTTCATTATTATTATATAAAGACGGAGATTTTAAATCTTAATGACCCCCTGCAGTGCTCTTGTACTTGTTTCCCTATTTAGGGAATAGACAGACAGAAACATTTACAATTAAATACATTCAATTTCTTCTTACCACCATGTCTTCAGACTTTACATTTTTAAAATGACAACAGAAAAGTGGCTTGCCCAGTGTCCAAGAGTCCAACCCCTTTTAACAACAAGAAGTCAATGATACAAAGATAAGTACATTGAAGAAGCTGGATCCACAGAAATGTTGCATTTTTCCTAAATAAATCACTCAAGTCGATTTTTGGGAAAAACTTGGCTGTTTATATTCTTTCCAAATTATTGTTGTATCACCTTTCCAAATACTGATAAAATGTTTTAGTTTTTTAAGCTGATATTTGCCTCTTTGATGTCTCTCGAGTGTCCCAACAAAACACCCGATTAAACTTTTACTTCAGGTTTTATTAAGGAAAGTCGATTGACAAAATGAACCACTCAAACCCATGATGATACAATCAGGTAGACAATACATAGATAGAGACACTGAATGTATGACTAACTCTAACATACATGTAACCCTTCATCATGTGTGTGTTCAGTCCCCTCAGTACAGTTCTGGCGGCAGCTACGACAGTGTGAAGATGGAGTTGGGAGCCGAGGATCTGACCACAGGACGCCAGGTCGGCCCCGACGACGACGACGACGATCATGACGACCATGACGACAACGACAAAATCAACGAAGCAGAGGGAGTCGATCCCGAGAGACTAAAGGCCTTCAATGTAAGTCAGAGAGAGGGTGTTACATTATGGGATCAATAAGGTGTCTCCTTATATTCATTAAGTAAAAAACACGCTGTTCATCCTGTAAAACGTGTCAGTGTCATTAATCACAAACACACTCCATGGCACAGACCCTAAAAAATAACAAGATAAGCTATTATTGATCCTTACAGGGGAAATTCTGCTGATGCAGCAACACAAATACAGAAATACGTACAGAATAGATAGATTAAAATAAGGTTAAAATAAGGACTTACAACTAGAATAAGGGTAAAAACTAAACAACAATGATCTGTAGAACAGGAAATAAAGATAAGAAAGAAGATACGAGAAAAGTAACAATAATATAAATGTGTACACCAGAATAATATATACTCAAATGTAGTAGTGATACTTTAAAAGATAAATGACTTGCATAAAAACAGACTTAAAGTTCTCATTATGCAATTCAAATGTTTATTATATGTTGCTGCTGGTAAAGGCAGAGCACATTTTATTTACTTTATATTGTTCTAACTGGGTTCACTGTGTTGTAATAACACGTCATGTTGTATTTGTTGATTATATTTTGTGTGATTAATCTAAATCTGCAAAGTAACAGCTAATAGTAGTATACTTAGGGTTGCAAAGGGGAGGAACATTTCCAGTACATTTCTATGGGAAGTTAAGCTGGTGAATTTTGGAAATATTCCATATTGGAAACCTTCCATGGGAATTATGGGAACTAACTTGGAATTGAGGGTAATGTAATCGAATTGTGTCATATCCAAGCATAAATATAAGCATTTTGTTTTGTCATAAGAAAACATCCAAAATGATAAAATAAAAAAAACATGACATTTCATCAGATTTATTTGTAAGTAGAACAGAACAAGTTTTAATTATTTGATTGAACAATCATTTGTTTCATTGAAGAACAAAAACATGAATGTTGAGTTAAATATTACTCATTCCCCCAACACCACTCATTCAAAAATGAACAAAAATGCACCCCCCATCCAAAGATCCCCACAAGAAATCATGTGTGCATGTGATGGATGAATGCAAAGTGCCTGTGGGGGGTGTGGTCTCAATAGCCATGCAGTAAGCAGTGTGCTATGTGCATGTGATTGAAGTGTACTTGAATGGCATCTGTTTGTTTTAGTCAAGATTAAGCTCAAATATACTTTCCCCAACTATATTTAAGTTCCCTATGAAGAGCCAACCTTCAATTCAGATTATAAAGAAAACTGGCATTTTCTTTTTAATCTGTACCCGTGTCCTTTTGTGTCCTTTTTGTAGTCAATTTCCTGTTGTTTGTCTTGTCTTACCCCGGCTGATACTTCACTAAATCCAGTGTTTTAATTGTTCCCTATATTGCCCCTATGCCCTGTAAGGTGTCCTTGGGTGTTATGAAAGGCGCCCCCCAAAATAAATGTATTATTATTAATTTAGAAAATTCCCGTTTATTCCCCTAAAATTCCCGTTAATTCCCATGAAAATGTCCATCTTTGAAAATTCCCGGAATTTTGCAACCCTAAGTATACTAGTAAAAATTACAATATTTACTTCTTGTACTTGGTAACATTATACCACTTCATGTACAAACAAATTGATAAGGAGCAAGTTATACACAAATTAGCTAAAAAAAAAAATAACCCATTAAAATACATTTCATTAACTGCTGTGTTTTCTGTCTGCAGATGTTTGTGCGTCTGTTTGTGGACGAGAACTTGGATCGAATGGTTCCCATCTCCAAACAGCCCAAGGAGAAGATCCAGGCCATCATCGAGTCGTGCAGCAGACAGTTCCCAGAGTTCCAGGAGCGCGCCCGCAAGCGCATCCGCACCTACCTCAAATCCTGCCGACGCATGAAGAAGAGCGGCATGGAGGTACGTACCAGCGAGGCTGAATGTCTGTCTTTGAAACAAAAGCCCAATATCTCTCTATTGTTAAGGAATATACATTGTATGTTTTTGTATGTGATTTTATAAGGCTAACATTCACCAATGACTAAAACACACCAATAACTCTCTCAAAAAACAATTAATTGTTTTGTATGATTTTCATTAGTTTAACATTAGCTAAGGTCTGTTCTTAATTCATGACATTGACTATGGGTGTTCCTTTTTTAGTGTACTTTTAAGATAAGATAAGATGGACCTTTATTAATCCCCGTGGGGAAATTCAGTAGTTCCAACAGCAACAGGGTAAGGATGAAAACACAGATTGACACAGATGAATAAAATCAAAGATGAAAATAAAAATTATGAAAACCTATGAAGTAAGAAATGAATGAAAATGAAACGTATACATATTGCGTCATATGATCTTAACATCAGTAAATCCCAGGATACATGTTTAATTAATCAACAGTATTTGCTGCAGTACTGTTATAATGCAAAGGCAGTGTGATTGGATGTGTTTGTACGAATGCAGGAGTGTGTATGTTTTGCACATTATTACCAGGTAGTAACAGATGTGTCACAATGTGTCAGTCACTGAAAAGTCTCTGCTGCCCCCCAGTGGTGAATCATCATATTGCACCATGTGTTAATAGCTGATACACAGGAAGGTGTTCTTCATTTTTATTATGACAAAATTGCCTTCAAATACCATTTGCATCAGTTTGCATATAATAGCAAAGCATGTTTTCTGGGATTTCATAGCTTTAATACATTGTATTCCAAAGCTTACGTAAGGTTTAAGATTTCAGAATCTAATATGCAAACAAGAGTTACAAATGGAAAACATAATTTTATTTATACAGAACTTTACAACGGAAATGTACAAAGTGCCTAACATGGTTTAACCAGGAACAAAATATTTCAGGACTACAATGAAATAAGACAATTTAAGTAAAATAAAATGAACACAAATAATGCAAATCCAAACCATTTAACAGAAGAAATTAAGTGAATAATCAACATCATTCCAGTGTAGTATAACAATTATATTTATGGAGCCTCCTGCCCCTCTCTGCCTCATTTCCTTCATCGCTTTGTTGATGTTCTGTCTGTTAACGGAAATATATTATAATCACTTTTTCTTTTTCCCTCTGTAATTAAATTCCATAATATGGTTGTGTCTGCAGACCCGCCCCACTCCGCCTCACCTCACCTCGGCCATGGCTGAGAACATCCTGGCTGCTGCCTGCGAAAGTGAAACACGCAACGCCGCCAAGAGGATGCGCCTCGACACCTATCACGTAAGATAGCATTTGTGTGATGATCTTCAAGTCTTGTATTTAATGCTCAAATAATGTTTTTAAAGAGGCAGAACTATAGACTTAAGGACTATAATCACACTCATAATCAAGAGAGTCATGCAATATAAATATCTCTCCATCTTGATTGATTAGAAACTCTCATTCCAATTTCACACAATTCATAATTTGTGCTGCTTTCGGCAAAGATTTTTTTTTGTATACAGAAACACAAATGTATTTCCCAAATGTTGTGGAGGCAGTTTTCCTGTCAGTCAGTGATGTGATTTATAGGATTCCTCTTCAACTCTCAAACTTGTGGACTCAGTCTATTGCCCTCTCTGCCGTAAGATTTATCACCGCTGATGTCTATGGAACACACCATTATATTTGATATGAAAGGGTTGGGTGGTTTTCTCTCCGAGAGAGATACGATACTCACTGTTTTCTTTATATCTATAAAGCAATTTACTGGAAAATAACTATATCACCGCTCAGAATTGCTCCATCACTCTTTAAAGTCACACTCTCCTGCTTCACAAACTAGGTCTACTGCACAGCAACCTTTTCACTCTTTAGGACATTTTAGAAATTTGATCATAAACCTTCCAATCGTTATACATAACTCTATGTCATTTTGTTTATAAATGTATAAATTAAAAATGATCTACCTTTTATTGGAATTATCTAGGACTTAGTAACTGCATTTTATTTTACATTTGAATTATCCTCATTTATCTATCATACTTTTTACATTATATTATTCTGGAAGGGGCCTTTGTAAAGAATGAGTACTTTTACTTAAAGTTCAAATTGATGCAAATACTTTTGTACATTTACATCAAGTAACATTTTAATGTAGGACTTTTACTTGTAATGGAGTTTCTACTTTTACTTAAGTAAAGACATGTTTTATCCTCCGAGCTTGCTGTTTTTAGTTTTGAAACTGACCCCCCCGTGGCTCCCTGTCTCCTCCCCAGGACGAGCCCGTCTCCCTGGACAAAGCGTCCGGTGGGGGGGGGGGTCTGCGGGAGCCGGCGTCCCTCGCTCACTCGGCCTACTCCCTGGCCGCCTCCGCCTTCTCCTCCCAGGACTCCCAGCTCTACATCAACGGGGCCGGCCTCAGCTACGGTTACCGTGGATACCCGGGCCTGGGCGCTGCCATGCAACACCCCGTTTCCCAGACGACCGGAGCTGCTAGTCAGAGCAACGGTGAGGATGGAAGGAGGAAGAGATGGAGAGGAAGTGGACCACATGTCATAGTGAGAGGGAAAAATGAATTAAAGAGAGGAAGCT